ATATATATCACATTATAAATAGTTAATTATATATATTACATTGTAAATAGTTAATAATGAATAGTATTCGACAAAAACATTCAATGAGGTCACAACTATTCTCACTCGTTAGATATCAAATTGGATGGCTTAAGATGAGTCACAAATTATGAGATTTTTTTATTTTTGAACGGTATCTAATAAATGACATTTTTTACAACCACCTATTTTGAAATCTGACCAAAATGATTGTGACCTCTTTGTATAAAAAATAAATGATCTTTTTGTAAACAATCCCCATAAAATAATTTAAAAAATGAGAAAATTAATATTATTTTCAAATGAGATTGTATGCTATAAGAATATTTACCTTAAATACAAGATCACAATTACCTATAACCATTCAATATGAAATCTGACAGCTTGAGTGCATAATAAAGTTCAAAAAAATTCTAATGAACTTTTGGCCTAGTGAATGGTACAAATAAAGCCACCCAATTTTCTATCAAATGGTAAAGATCAATTATGACCTTCATGTATTAAATATAAATGGACTTATTGTGTACTTTTCCCTTTCAAATAGCATAAATGATGTCCTTATTTTTTAAATAAATTACTGTTGATATACAAAAATAAAATATTAAAATAATTAAATTTTAAAACATTTCTATGTAAATATGTCCATTTGTAGCTTTACTTTCTCCACCATTTTGTTTTGCATTTTCACCCTCTTTTCTCTTTTATTGGCTAGATACCACTTGTCTCCTTTTGGGATATTTATTAAAACACCAATACGAAATACACTATTTAAAATTCCACTTATTTGCATCTATTCCATATCAAAATCATGTGTTTTTTATGAGTATCTTGAAATTAAACCAAAAGATATGGATGAGGTGTTAAATTGTTCATCTCTCATGGATAATTTTATAAATTTCCCTTACCTTTATAAGACCCAGTACTCTTATAAAATCGAAAAGGGCCAGCCCTTATTATGGACCTTTTTAAACTTGATTTCTATTAATAAGAACAATCACACCACGATCAGTGCCACTGATATCATAAATCCTCAAAATCAGTGTTTCTTCTTTATTTATTTTTTTCAATTTTCATACTTGTGTTCCAAGTTTGTCTGAGAATCCTCAATTCTTTGAAATTTACAGTCCAGGCCAACTTCAGAGGTTGTAATCCCTCTTCTGCTTTCTTGGTCAACACAGTACAGAATGGCAAAGGCTACAGTTGTTGAGAAGAAAAATGCCCCAAATGAAATAAATTGATTGAAAATTGACAGGCCACTGATTTCCTGCAAATGAGAAAGGTTGTATAAGGGCTCTGCTAAAAACGCTATGAAAATTTACAATAAAGAAAGGCAATGTCCATCTCTCTGATTGGGTTCAACATCATGGTTTAAAGGAGTTCCAGATCAGGAAGAAAAATGAAAACTACTGTAAACCTATTTTTCTTGGGGATGTTAGAATCCATCCTCAGAGCATCTACATTCTCTGTTTTCCTAAGTGAATGAAAACTATTAAAAGCTCGCTTTTCTTAACATGAATGTTAGAATCCATCCTCTAGAGCATCTGCATTCTCTCTTCGCCTAAGTGAAATAAAACACACCTAATATGTCGATTTCAGCAAAAATATATATACTTGGCACATGAGTATGGCATGTACTAGTTGGTAAAGTTGACTATTGTCACAAAGCCTTGGTGCACTTACATTTAAGGTATTAGGTAAAACTGCTGGTATTTGGCAACATAATTTAAAATCACTAGAAGTTTGAACAAAATATTTTGAAAGAAAATATATGGTTCTTTTTTAAAAATCACTAGAAGTTTGAACCGAATATTTTGAGGTAATCTCCCCTCTTGCCCCAAACCAACTACAGCTATATTATATTAGTTGCTGCAAGAGAAAAACTAGCGAGCAGGGGAAGGCAAAAGCAAAAGAAAAAGAATTAGAAAATAGTAAAAACTTACAAGAGCTGCCTGAATTATGGTCTCGAGCAAGAGTCCAGCAAAGTAGTTGACAGAGAACATAAGAATGAATCGCTTGTTAGTCAATAGCCTTCCGCATCTGACACTGACAAGACAAGCAAGCGCCTGATAAATACCAGAAATTAGGATATAAAGACAATAAGCTGCAGTTGTATCCTTGTAAAGGCCCATAGCCAAACAAATTGTGCCCATGGCTGCTACCCCAAACACATAAACGGCCAATCCCGTGTTCACGGCAATGGGATCAAGATAAATGGCAAAGAGAGATCCTAGGCTTCCGGCCACTTGGGATGCTGCTATGATATGGCCATTGAATTTTGATTGTGGGTCAATGGCATCAAAGAGATTTGTCCCATAGTTTTGAACCAAGGAAAACCCGGCATAAGCAACAGCCCACCTGAAGGCATCAAAAGCAAATATGTGTTCAATAACATAGTGACAAATATCTTCAATTTCTTGAAAATTATTGGTATACTTCTAAAGGGAAGTATGATATAGTCCAATGGATAATTGAAAACCTTAGTCCTTTTGGATCATGATAATTAGAAGAGGTGAGGGGCACCATAGTTGCAAATATCTCCAGAAACTATAATGACCACAAAATTTAGGGGGTGAGGGTAATTATTATCCTGCATAATGGGCAATTCATTCATGTTTTTTAACTCTCTTTACCAAAAATGCTTTTCTTTTGATACTTCACTGACAGGGTTGTCGGACCTCGAGCCAGACACTTTTGTGGAGCCTTGTCCCAAGGATGATATTTGTATTTGGTTATTACGACATGGCTACTAAAATTGCAGTCACCACATCTTCAATCATGGTCATCCATCGGATCTGGATTCAATATTTTGATCCTTGACTACATGTATTATCTGTAAACATGAAAACTCCTCCCCATCACAGTCAAATGAGGAATAATTCATCTCCCATACATGCTTATCCATATAGGGTAGGTTATCCTTCATGTCATTTGGTACGGCTTCACATTTTCCTAAAAGATGAATGCAAAAGATTACCTAGTCGGTTTTCAAAGGAACCTCCTCTATCCAGCAACAACCAACCCCAGAACATCACAATGAACCAAATAGACTTGGTGCCTAGCTAGTGCAATCCCAGTAAGACAAGAAGCTCTTCATAAATGCTTTGCTACCATTTGAGTTTATCAAATTAGAAAACCTAGGGAAATTTACGTTAAAATCCCTCTTGTTTTGGGCAACTAAAAATGCTCCTGCATAAGTTTTATTTTATTCTGAAATCCCTGTTTTCACATTGTTCTATTTGAATTACCCACCATCTAAACCGGTGTCTGTTTTTCAGTGAAAATGCAGTGGGAACATTGGATGTCCGAATTGATTTCTTTGAGTGAAAGGACCAGTTTAGGCATCCAGTATCCGAAGCACTTCTCTCAATAAAAAAAAGACAAAGTACACTGGATGTCCTAACTGATCTTTCACTAACAAATCTTATAGAAAGTGGTCCAAACATCCAATACCTAAACTACTCTTATGTTCAAAGCAGGAGATCCATATGGGGAATCACTGATCCAGATCGGATTCAGTGAGTGGGCAATCAAGGTTCCCATCCCACCAGATCCCCCTTATTTTATTTTTTATTGTTTTTGAACTGATTTTTCACCGGTTTGTCCTATTTGAATCGGCACAGTAAGTGGGAGATCCAAAACCCATTTCCCGGTTTTAAAATACTTACAAAAAAGGGAGAAAAAAACAATCTACAGTGGTTCGGACATCCAGTGTTCGAACTGTTGAGTCATTCAGAAAAAAGGCAAGTGTGGGTGGTTTGGACATTAGAAGTCCAACCACCACTAGTCACTTTCTTAGGGAAATAGTTATTTCAGACATCCAATGTATGAACCACTTTCTCACTGCAAAACACAAAAATGTTGTCTGGACTTTATGTGACCGAAATTTGGTGCATAATGGAAAATAAAAATACACAAAAATTTGAGGGGTTGAGCAATTTTTTAAATTTAAAAAAAACATATATTACGGTGAACATTTCAATATGATCAACAAATATGCAAAGGATTTGACATGTTTGGAAGCAGCCTACAATCAACTGTAATAGATACCAAGAATGATTGGCGGCAGTGCCATACATGCGAAATAATACAAATAATTCAATCACAGTAAGCAATCACAGTAAGCACATAAGGGCAAGAGAAAAAGACTAACCAAATGGAAAGAATCTGCAGACTCCTTCCATGCCAAGTTTCTCTTAGTATTGCTATCCATCCCTGTTAATCATTTTCGAACAGCAGTCTTGTGAAAATACAATTGATTAGTGGGGCATGCACTTTTTTACCCAGGAAAGAGAGGGCAAAATTCTTTGTTCCTCACGAAAGAGAGGTCAAAGTTCTTTGATACCCAGGAAAAAGAGGGACGAGTACTCTTGCCGTTATTTAAAAACCATAGACTGTCATGAGGGAATGATTTATCAGGAAAAAAAAAGCACCTTATAAGGGTTTAATATTTAGCTGAGTCAGTTGCTTGAGAAAGCAAACAATTGTAGTTCTCCAAAGGTTGTGTTGGATTGAAAGATTTGAAGCATCTCAAGAATGGTGACTCATCTATGCATGTACTAACTTCGAATTTCGGAGATGGTGACCTTCAGCCAAAGGGAGAATTACATTTCTCTAGTTCTATAATGTAATTTTAGAAACTATCTCAGAAATGAAAAGGTAAAAGTGGTTCTTTTAATTCACAAATTACAATGCAACTTGCATTCTAGAGCTATAATAATATTACAAAATGTTATTCCTATGCTTTTTAGGTTTTTAGCTAGAGCAAAATCTCAAAAACACTGTAAGCATTAACAGTGGCAGGCAATTAACTGCTCTATAACTTGGTGGTCATGTAAAAATTCTCTGACTTGGTAGTCATGTAAAAAGGTAGGCTGTTAAAAAGTTAAGCATTACATATGCATGCACCAGCAAAGCATGTGTGGATGCATGTAGTCAATCAAATGGAGTACAACCCTTCAGTTGCCCTCTCTTATACTCTCAAAAGTATTTCTATCCTTTTGTAGTGGTGCTTACGTTTGTGCCACCAAGAGGGGTAGTTATTCTCTTCAAAGTGTAGTTTCTTTATCAAAGATCAGGGGTGAGTAAAGGGAAATTTCCAGTTTGTTAAGTTTATCATATATCCTTCATTCTAATAAAGAATTTCTAGGCCAAAACAAATGAAGGAAATGAAGGGAGACAAAGTACCTCATTCTGACTCCAAAAAGTTGCTAGCGGATAGACATAATCTGAAGTGTGATCTTTGGGTAAAATAAATGTTACAAGACAACAAATACCCAACTGCAAAAATAGGAAGCACAAATTAGGATAACTGCACCATTTAAAAGTTTGTGATGGACAAGAGCCATACAAGTGCAATACATACCGAAGAAAGAGTGAGAATGAACATTACAGAATATGAGGTTGTTACCAGAGCTAGCAATTGGCCTGTTTGAGATAATAAAAGATGGTTGATTTAGAAAAATAAAACAATGTATCTCGCTGCCTTGAAATTGAACTTCAGGTGATATCAAAACAAAGCAGAAGAACAATGCAAAAGAAGCCATCAAGACCTTTAGTTGAGGCTTGTAGATAAAGCCAATTAGCAGGTTCGGAAGTCAAATACCGATTCTAAGACTAGCGATTCTTAGTCTCCTTCTACATCCCATATTCTGTTTTTATTTTATATTTTATGCAGTCCTATCCTAGTAGCCAAGTATGGAAGAAACCCTTGTACCTAATGCAGTAATAGTCGCACCCATAGTTAGCAAGTTGGGGACTATCAATAGTTCGGCTCACCATAACATCGAAAATAAATCATTTTTATTTTAAAAAGTCGAATGAAAAAATCGGTTCAAAAATATGGATCGGCAAAAATATTTTATATAAAGATATCGCAAATATATCGGACTAGGCTCAAAAAATGGATAAGTTTAAAATATTAGAAAATTTGAAATTCTAAAAAATAAAAAAAAATGCCAAAGCCATCAATAACTACTCTCTCTATAAATTAATAATACAACTTCTCTCTCTCATTTAATAATACAACAAAAGTGTATAAATAAAGCTTTTCTCTCTCTCATTTAATAATGCAACAAAAGTGTATAAATACAGCTTTTCTCTCTCAATTGCTAACCATTCTCTCTCTAAATTAATAACCACAGTTCTCTCTCACTCTAAATTAATAACAACAAAAGTGTATTAATACAGCCTTTCTCTCTAAATTAATAACCACAGTTCTCTCTCACTCTAAATTAATAACCACGGTTCTCTCTCTCTCAATTAGTAACCATTCTCTCTCTCTAAATTAATAACCACAGTTCTCTCTCACCCTAAATTAATAACCACGGTTCTCTCTCTCTCTACAATCTAAATTAATAACCACAGTTCACTCTCTCTCTCTCATTTTAAATTAATAACCACAGTTCTCTCTCACTCTAAATTAATAACCACAGTACTCTCGCTCACTCTACATTATTAACATTGTTCTCTCTCTCTAATTTAATAACACAGTTCTCTCTCTCTAATTTAATGGCATGGTTCTCTCTCTCTATACATGTTAAAAACAACGGTTTTGATCTCTCAAAATAAAAACCATGGTTCTCTCTTTATAAATCAAAGAAACCCTAGAATGGGTGATGGGTGACCACGGCTCTATCTATAAACCCGTGGAGCTTATTGAGAAGGCCGCCATGGCACTTATGGGTGACCACGGCTCACTCTCTCTCTATCTTTCTCTCTCTATCAAATGGGAGAATGGGTGAGTTTATGAGGATAAAACCCTATACCAAAAGATTACAAATCTACATTCAGAAATGGTAAATAGCTGAATCCAAAATATGTAAGGTTTGAGAAAGCAATTCGTTGTCCAGAAATGGTGAAGAACTTACTGAGAAGGTAGCCATGGCTATGAATGGGTGACCATGGTTCTCTCTCCCTTTCTCTCTCTATAAGATGGGTGATCTCTATTGTTAAATTTGGGGATTTTGATTGAAGTTTAGCTTCCAACAATTTTATGCATGTCTATTATAATTTAAATTTGGGAATTTTTTATTGAATTTAGTGTTAAATCCATTATTTCAAAGAATGATGGGCTCTCTCTCTCTCTTTCTCTCTCTATCATATGCCTTTTTCTAATCTATTTTTCCCCAATCTAATGTTTGTTAAATTTAGGAAATTTTTATGCAGTTAGTTTATCTCTGTACGATCCTAATCTATTTTTCCCCAATCTAGTTAGATTGGGGGATTTTTTAATAAAGTTTGTTTATCTCTATAAGAGACATTCTTTGTTAAATTTGGGGAATGCTTTTTTTTTTCCCAAAAAGTATTGTTTTTTAGAAGGTAAAAAATGGAAATTCATAGAACACAAATATGTTATTTAACTTTCCAAAAAAAAAATAGAGGTTATTAATAGAAAAGGCTTTTTGAACCGTTTTTTTACAAAGCTGAAAAAACGTGTTTTATTCTCCTTGAAAAAATGCGTTTTTTTGCTGATTTATTGAAAAAGGCACAGATTAAAACACTTTTAAAAAAAACACCGATTTTTTGAAAAAAAACGCGTTTAAATCAGTGACTTGCTAACTATGGTTGCACCACGAAGCTGGACTGTTCCATTGTTCTCTTTAGAGAAGCAGCAACCTCTTCTCGACTAGAACCAGAACCACCAAAGTGAAAACCATCTCTAATAGCAGCACCTCCCACAACAGTATGAGCATCTCCAATAACATCAGTTTTAGGAACACCGATTATAAAATAAAATGAGGCAGATGTTTCATGTGTTCCTTTGTAATCTAAAGGACAACTCAATCCAATTTTGAGGCAATGTGCTTACTTCTTAGTATCAAATAAACATCTAAGAGACATGGCATCTCAAAAACAAAAACACCAATAGCTCTGCCAGAGGGTGAAAAGTTCAATATCATCTTTGTCTTTACTTTTCTTATTTTTCAATAAGTGAAACTTTTAAATCAGTCAGAAAATTCCAATGTACAAATCAAATACAGATCACATCTCACATTGTAAAACTCCAACTCTTTCTGTCCATACCTTGTTGCACCCACATTAGCAAGACTGTTGAGCATTATGTTGTCAACATGGATAAATTTAACAGAAAACAAACACCACCTTTAAGAAAAAAACATTTCAATTTCTAGGGAATTAGGATATGACATTGACTCATCTAAAATCTAAAAACATTTTATGAACCATATTCTATAATCAGCCTAAAAGAATTCTCTCAAACAAAGAAGCAAATCAAAAAGCAAGTGTTGGGTTTAGTTCATGTTGACTTGAATACCCCATGGGAAACGGTATAAATCGGTTACGGAAAGGGTACTTTGGGCACTATGTGTCATGTAATGTATACATCAGTTTTTTTTAACTTTTTTCTAGAACTAGTATGACTTAGTTGACAATTTTAGTTCCCACTATTGGCGCTTTGCTTTTTGAATTTATGCATTGTCTGAATGGGTTACAGTATTAACAATTGCAACACTACATTCCAAGTTCAAACCCCGCGCTGATGTAACCAGAAAGAATAAAATTCACCTATAATGTATTTCTGTAATTTCTGTAATTTAGACTGTTTCTGTAATTTCTATTGATCCATATATAGGATAGCCATGTAAATTAAAATATGTTCAAGGGCACCTAAGTTGTTATGTATATAGTATACATTTCAATAAAAGAATAGACACTATGTTTCATAATCTCCAAATTTCTATGCCAGCTTTCACTCACTGTCCTGCTTTCAACACCACATACCTTTCTCAATTAGAGCCTGATAGAAGAAACCTCTCAAGGGGGAAATTAATCCAACAAGTCAGACCAGTCGATCAGATCTGGTCTTTTATTACAGTGCTCATCAGTCATAACTTCCAAGTGAAAAGAAAGGAGTGGATAAGGAATCAAATTGCAAACCACCAGGGATCCAAACAACCCATGGTCATTTACATGCAAAACTTGATAAGGTCTGGGGGATCTCAGAGCACAAAGGTCAATCACTCAATCACTATTGGCAAGTAAATGTACATGAACACATACACGTGCCCCACAACAGTTCATGCAAATCAAATTGGGAATATAGAATAGGAAGGCACTCTGCATGTTTGTGCCTTTTGAACCAAACTTTTTAACCAGCAATTGAGATACAAAATTCCAACTGCTAAGTTGGATAGGGTATCGATGACACTTATGATTAGACTAGGTTACAAAAAACATGGGGAATCAGTCCTTTCTGCTATATGAAACTCTTGCTGCATGGTCTACGAAATAAGGCCATGAAGGTTGACAAAATTATAAAGCAATAATGTTCTGATAATTGCCTTATTAAAACATATTTGTCTTTCTCAAATAAGAAGCAGCAAGGGAAAAATTGTCATATACATGCAACAACATATAAATTGTATAGATCCAAGAAAGGGAAGATGGTGTTTACATACTCAACTCAGAGGCTAACATAAAGGACAATAGTGAAGTTGTAGTAGTTATACTGATCTGCAAATTTGAAAATAATAGGCTATCATCAATAGTCAACCAGAACATGATACACAATAAGGCATACATGAATTACAACAACAGTTATGTCAAGTAAGAAACCTATTTATTGAAAAATGAGCAACATATCCAACATGTCTAAGCTTAATACCAAAGGAGAAAGTAAAGTACCATATGTTGATAATCTCCTTCAGGTACAAGAAGAAAGATATATGAAGAGAATACCAAGCGAGCTGCCATTCCAAATCCATAAATAACCTAGATAATAAGAAGAATACAAATTTAGAAAAATGGTAAAAGAGAAAGTTTTCAATTATTGAATACACTAGTCAATGCAAGGATGCTTAGGAAAGGTAAATCTCCATTAAACATAACTAACGAGTCATTACAATATTCTGTAAACATGTCAAAAAGAATTATAAACAAGCAAATGTAGCCAACAACAAATACAACAATGCAATCACAACTTTATTCAAAATACTGGAGAGGCAGGAAAGGATAAATGAGTTGAAAGGGAAAGGGAAATGGAGCAGTGATAGACAATAAATAATATGGTCTAATCAATCAGCCGTTAGAAATCAGCAGCGGAATAGGATTAGGTGGGGGAGCAGCAGAGATGAAGACGAAAGAGATTGCCTAAGTCAAACTCAATAAAGATCTAATGGTATGTGAGGAGGCTTAAGACCCCAAAAAGTATATTGTTCTTAAGGTAGAACTTACTGACGTCTTCTTTCTTTTAAGTGAGGGAGGGCAAGATGCGGGTAGGTTAGGGGTCAGAGTCAAACCTTGAATCCAGCCCTCAATGCCCTAATAACTGAACCAAGAGCCCTAAATTGCCTTTTTAGATCAACCTGAGTTTCTCTTAATTCATATCCGAAGGACAAATTGACTATTAAATATTGGAATGTATATAAGAAATTGAATATGGCACATGCACATCAACATAGCATAAAGCTTGTGACTTATTCAAACAAATAATTACCAAAAAAATATTTTGTAATTTACCTCTTTCATACTTTTTACAAGTCCATGCTTCCTAGGCCACTTGTTTACTAAAATTCAAAATCAGCAAAGCAGAAATAGCATGTATTTTTGAAAGTCGGCATATGAGGTGCCAATTACACTTTGATGCAACCTCTTACAAAAATTTTAGTCTCATGCCTGATGAACCTAAATAAATGTGCCAAACATTGAGGTATCCTTGTCACATTCAGAAAGGTTTCTATAACTATTGTAGTTAGACATCATGATCCCATTTTTTTCAAACAGTGCCATCGTGCATGAATTCCAGAAAGTTCAAATTATGCAAATTGATTTAGAAACTAGTGAATCTAATTCTTTTAATTGTTGAACTGTTTTTTCTTTTCAAGTAGTGCTATGAGAACAGTACATATTTGCCCAAAGAGGATTTACAAAAAGTGAACTGATTGTCCAATAGAACAGAAATGTGAGTGTGACTTAACAGGCATGAACAAGAATAACTGCACAAAAATTTTACAGGCAAAGGCAAGGAATTTTCTTCGCTCTTCTCCACTAATCATAAGCGCCTCTTTCTGTTTCTTGCCCTGCTAAGAAATCTGCTCTATCATTAGATTCACGCCTTTCTTTTTTTTTTTGAGGCTTGAGGTAAAAACTCTGCTACATTAAGTTGCTCCAAATGGAGTATATAGACAGTAGAGAGAGAAAGAAAGAGAAAGAGATGGGAACCAGGCCCACAAAGTCCCTACTGCAACTGGTTGTGTGAGCTAATGAATCAGCATGATCATTGGCCAATCGAAATCTCACTTGCTAATGTTGGCACATGTCATATATCTCGTCCAAAGTGTCCACTAATTGCCATGGTGGTGTGCGTTCCTTTCACACTCATCAAATCATACTCAAGGAACCACCTTCATCGAGTACAAACCTGATAAAAACAGGAAGAATATGTGCAATCCCATAGGAAATGCTATGGCCTCAGCCCTATTAGCATCTCCAACCCCTGCTGGCCTGCATAGGCAACAAAACCCCAATGGCCCAAAGGATGGCAGCAAAATTAAGTTTCAACAGAGTAACCCCCTTTAGTGAGAAAGGACCAAATCTCCAGCTCATAGCACCTCAGCAACAGATTTAGGAAAGATTCATTCAAAGGCCAAAAAGTTTCAATATATAAGACCAAATGGTCCTGCCAAATGTGCAATGAATAAATAAGTGATCAACCGTCTCTCTATCTTCTCGGCACATGAGACAAATATTGGGGAATTACATGCCTCTATACTTCAGGTTATCTCACGTAAGAACATTGTCTAAGATGACCAACAATCTGAAGAATAGAACTCAAGAAGGGGTAGGAATATCCCACACTAATTGTCCATTGGAAGGGGTCTGAACCCCTGGGGATATGGTCAGGCCCATGATCATACTGAGAATACCCCTTTTGAGTCACACCGCCACATAAGTTTGTGGTACATAAATCAAGTTCAAACAGCCAAAAAGTGCACATAGTTTATCAGTCTCCAAATCATCCAAGTTTCTTTAAAAGGTTGGGTTCCACACAGAGTGGTTATTTAATGGCAATCAGTGATAGCTACCTCTTGTGCCTGATAAACATATGTGAATTGCTCTTAGAAAGGTGTGTTTCTATCGCCTCCCAATTCTGATCCAAAGGAAAATATTGTGCCACTGATAAATACCATGCCATGAAATTGATATTCTTAAAGGTCTTCTTAGTATGCATGTTTCCAACCGCTCTTTCATTGCCATATTTGGCACTAATAGTGAACCCCTCCTCATGACCAAAATGCTGATGCCGTTTCCAAGTAATGCCTCGTTCATCTGTTTCAAGTGCTTTAGCCCTAGACCACTTGCGCATTTAGGCACAAACATCTTCCCACTTGACAAGATGAAATCCATCCATCATTGGTGCCTACCATAAGAAATACCTTTGTATCCGCTCCAACTTTTCTACTATCAGAATATGGTGCTCAAAGTAGAGACATAAGTAAATAGGGATCGATCTCAAAGTTGCCTTAATCAATGTGAACCTCCCAGCCTTATATAGAAACATATCTTTCCAAGGGGTCAACCTTTTTTCCACCCTTTCAATCACTGGGTCCCAGATACTTTGTTGTTTCTGCCAATATATAGAGGAAGGTCCAAATATCAGCAGCTAACTCTTCCAAACATTCTACTAAAATATGCATCCCAAGCAGAGGACTCTTGCCCATTCAGATTCTCTGACCTGTTATCCACTTACTCCATGATAGCCCCACAAGAAGAGATTGCGTCATTCAAATACTGAAGATGAGATACCATAGAGTCATTCAGGTGCACACCAAAGCCTTCAAGAAGGCCAGTAGAGCATGCATTGCAAATCAACCGACTCAGAACTTCAGCAACGATTGTGAAAAGGAAAGGGGAAAGGGGATCTTTTTGTCTACGCTCTTTGGAACTTTTGAAGAAGCCTTTGGGAGAGCCATTAACAAGAATATGAAAGAATATCATCAACCTGCTATCTTTGATCCACACAATCCACCGTGTGCTGAAACCCATCAAATTGATCACGGAAAATAAGAGTTTCTGATCCACAGGCCATAGACCTTTTCTAATCGAGCTTCAAAATGAGTTGCAGATTTGTTTACCTAATATCTTGATTTGATGCACTCACAAGCCAACAATGCCCCATCAAGAATTTGTCTTCCCCGAATGAAAGTGCTTTAGCAGTGAGAGATTACAAATCCAATACGCTTCTCAGCCGTGAGGCAAGGAACTTCATGATTATCTTGTATACACTGCCTATCAAGCTAATATGCCTACAATCTGTTAGATCTTCGACACCCTCCACCTTAGACATAAGAGTAATAAAAATAGCATTTAATGAACATTCTAGAATACCTTGTGAACAAAATTTGGAGAACATATCCAATAGGCCATCCCAAATATTTCCCAATTTTCTTGAATGAATGCCACGTCAAAATCGTCAAACAAGGTTCTATCTGTTTCCAAAGAAATTAAAGCATCATAGATCTCCTCTTTTATGAATGGTCTTTCCAACTACCCCTTGGCATCAGCCAGTATTCTACCAAAACCAAAGTCATCAATTGGTGGCCTCTAATTTCCATCTGCTTTATACAGATGCCTGCAGAAGTCTACTATGACCTAACTAACCTCTGGCTCCCAGTCCACCATTAGTTCTTGCATTCACGATCACATGAAAGTCAGCAATATTTTTGTTCCCTTCCTTTAGCCACTTGACCCTTAATCTCTAACGCCAAATCATCTCTTCCATTCACACCAAATCTTGGTACCCTTATTTCTAATGACGCAAGAGAGGCCTTTTCTTCAATTGATAGGGAATTAATCTCTTCCATTTATCTCTTCCATTCACACCAAATCTTGGTACCCTTATTTCTAATGATGCGAGAGATGCCTTTTCTTCAATTGATAGGGGCTTAATCTCTTTCTTCTGGTTCAGATTTTGAATTTTCCTCCAAGGTCCTTTCTTTTTTTCAACATCACTGAAAAACCTCGTCATGCCAAGCTTTAGATCGGATCTCGTAATTTTAGTTTTCCTCGGAATGTAGTCCCCTCCTGTCCATGAGTGCTCAAACTATCCCACAATGAGCCTCAAATCTGATAAAGGTCGGTCCCCTCCCCACCAGCCTCGTGTCAATCGAAATTAGCCAATGATAGATGCCGGATTGGGTATGGCTCTTTGATTCCCACCAGGAATATGACTCTCCAAATCCCTGTTAATGAGAAATCTATCAACTCTAGTGAGCACCAGGTCAATTCGATTACTGGACCATGTGAATTAGGATCTCCTATTGGTAAGTCAATCAGCCTATTCAGACTAAAAAACTGAGAGAAATTTGTCATTCTTATAGTAATTCTCCATCCTCCCTTTTCTGAGAAGTGAATCATATGGAAATCCCCTCATATACACCATGAGTAATTCAATCAACATGTATAGTACCCAGCTCTCCTCGAAATTCCTCTCTTACTAGGATCATTGAGCACCAACTCGAAGCCATTTTCAACAGATCTTAAAGGATCTCAAATTTAGGAATTTCTAGAAATCCCCTCCCCTAGTTTCACAAAACTTTTTCCATCCGACATCACAATGATCCCTCTGGATGCGCCTATAGAAGGTAAAGCATCCAACCACACCTCTGCCTTCCTCATGTCAATCTAATGTCTTCGTATCCTATATTTTCAAGTTTCAATTCTTGGATTGAGACAATATGTGCTTTGTTCTTATTAATAACCTTCAGGCCTTTCCAGGACTCAATCATTACACGACATGAATTTCATCGAGGCGGGTTGGAAGTAAGCCTTGTTAAGGGCGCTAACTTTAGTTAATGGTGCTTGGCTTCTTCATGCCCCCATTTTTCTGTCATCATTGATCCCTGATGAAGATTTTTTCGCTCTCTACTTCTTGCATTTACCTGTTGTGCAGGATCTTCCTTTCCTCCTCCCTTGCTTTCTCTTGCTGTCTTTCGTCTAAAATCTACACAATTTTAAAACATTTGTGGTTGGTTTCCTGATGGATGCTTCCATTGCTTTGCATATCTTCGTCAGTTCTCTTCTATGATTCTCAATGTGTATTTTATGCTTTTATCACAATTTCCCCTACTTTGATAGTTTATAGGGAAATTATCAAAAATATATCCTAATTTTTGGATTATTGGAAATAAACCCCAAACTTTCCAAAACCTCACACATACCCCTTTTTTGGGTGAGTAGACAAAAATAGCTTTCACAGTAGCCTTAGAACCATGACGGCATCACTGTCTATTGAAAACCATGATGGTCCAAGCGGGTCGTAAGTCAAACGTAGTTTTGAAGCATCACGGCACTTAAAGAACCGTGATGGTTTATTGGATTACACAATTTTAATTTAACCGTTATACCTTCGTCATAAGGCATAAGTTATACCTTCGTCACGGGGCTTAAGAACTCTTAACAACCATCACAGATTTTTAAGTGTCGTGATGCCTCTTAACGACCATCATGGTTGTTTACGTGTCGTGATGCCTCAAAACATTAAACTGGCCATGACCATCACAGTAGTAAGTCTACCGTGATGTCTTCACAGTCCTAAAACTACCGTGAAGGCTATTTTGGTCAAAAAATGTAAAAAGTGAAGAAAAGATGTATGGATGAGGCTTTGAAAAGTTTGGGATTTATTTCCAATAATCCAAAAATTAAGGTACATTTTTTATAATATCCCTAGTTAATATGTTCCTCGCTATCCTCAGAGGATGTATAACAATCCATCATCATGCTGGGTCTATAAGGAACCTCCACTGTCCCAATTGGTCAATCTCAGTGGGAGGGCTTAGAAGAACGCTATCATCCAACTTGGCTGTGCCGAGAATGTGGGTTTGAACACCTTGAAGAAGCACCACTTGGGCTCGGGTTCAAATGGGCAGAAGTGATTGGAGATTCCAAGAGTGTAGGTCTTCACAATATAACCCCGAAGGGTAATGATAATACCATTGGCAGATATAGGGGAGGTTTGGAATTATACAAGTAGGGGTTAATAAATTCCAAGGGGTCTAGAAGGTACATGCCGCTTAAATGGGTACCACAGGTCATGATCTCATGGCTGCTCATCATCTTCACAGGCATCTGAGCCATTCGATCTGGCGAATGGATTTAACGGGACTGATCATATCTCCTTGCTCTACAGAGAGGTGTTTTGAGAAAAGGTTTGTCCCCATGCATGATTCAGTAGCAAGTAATGTGTATTTCTCTTGTTCCATCCTCTCATACCATATTCATATGAAACATACAGCAATTTTTAATGCTATCTCTAATATTTCTGAAAATAATCCATCAAGCTTCCATGGACACCCTTTCCCATCCAAAACGCATGAGATAGTCCTCGCTAAGTCTCCTTTCACCAAAAGGGAACAAGTTGAGTCAAGCAGTCTGAGGCCAAACAGGAAAGCACTAGCATTTTGGATGAAGATTTGAATTCTTGAACTTCTTTTAATCAAAGAACCTTTGATTATGATTTAAACAAAATTGACCACTCTCCCTTCCTAAAGATACACACCCATCCCAGCCTCCCACAACCACATAGTACAATTGTTAAATAGAAGAAAGAGACAAACATCACGAGGGACAGATCAAGAAGATAAGTCAATGTAACATGTATGACCACAATATCTAAAATGCATATACAAAGACTATTTTTTTAGTTGAGAAACTCTAGGAAAGGAGGAGAAATATTCCTCAAACACTGGGGCACCATAAAAATTCTTTAATAAATTAAATGGTAGCAGTAAAAACAATTTGCATAAGGAACGTTATCTTTTAAATTGTAATAGAAACTTAATGCATAATAGAAGGATGAGATGGACTGTCCCTTGAACTTCAATGGTCAAAGTACCATGAAAATACATTAATAAGAATTACCAAGCATATGAGTACGACATACCTGCATAATTTGCATTGCAAGAAGGGACTTCTCACACCATATGATCAAATACGTAATAAGCATCGCCAAAGCCCCTAAGTGCCATTTCCCAGAGTAAGCAACAAGAAGTCATATTTGTAAATTTCAGGTAAAAATATCCAAATTTACATGATTAAATAGTTACATAAAGCTTATCAAAGAGATATTTGTAAATTCAAATCAAGATCATTCTCTATGCACAAATTTAAAACTGAAATATGAATTGCTTGCAAAACATATATAGAACTACGATAAAATCACAAAGTCTTCTTAAAAGAAACCATAAAATGGAGTTCACACACAATCACTGCAGTCAAAAAGCTAGGTGACTCTAGAATATTTGGTGTCTCATTGGCCTAGAAGCACCAACCAGCTCTCAAGATTCCAGGGAGTTCATAGTACATAAAATGCTTATAACTTAAATAAAAAAGGAAAATAAATTGCGGCCTGTTCACCTGTATAAGAGTTAGAAGAGATGCACATTTCCTAATGCCTAGTTTGCTCACATTTGAAATGCTATAGTGTTTTGACGGGTTAAGCTGAAAAGAGGGGATATCCATGACAGAGGCAAACTCCTATAAATATGGTTTGCCTCTATCCTGGATACAAACCCATTCCATACCATCCCCACTTATCCACTAGCAAACACCCCTACATGTACAACATATACAATGTATTATTAATATAAAGTCATTATATGATACATTTTAGTTAGGTCTATTTCTATGTAAAGATGACAGTGTTCATTCAGCTCTATCAATTTACACTATTAGTAACATGACTCACTATTAAATTTCTAAATTCGAAAGAAACTTTCTATATTATAAAGAAAAATAAGACAGCTGTCTCCTTTGCCCGTGAATTAAAGGTGTTTATGAAGTATGAATAATCCAGTTAATATTATAAGGCATTGTCCAATTCATAATTAGTTGCACAAACTGATGCATAATACATATAAAAATTATGTACCAAATTACGAATGATGAAATTACAATTAATAACTAATATACTAACAATGTCCAATAGTTAATGCCTGAGATAACACGAACCCATAAAAATAGGGAAATTACAATTAATAACTAATATACTAACAATGTCCAATAGTTAATGCCTGAGATAACACAAACACAAACCCAATTTTTTTATTGTTCACATTTTTGTACCTAAAATAGCCTTCACAGAAGTAATAGAGCTGCAAAAGTTATCACAGTCCCACCCTAGTTCAAAGCCTCTAAAGCATCACGGTGTATTACAAAGTTTCAAGGCATCACGGTTCTATTAGAACGGTGATGGCTTTAAGCTATGGGAACCAGCATGGTGCTAATATAACTGTGTGTGTTCGTCATTTCTGAAAATAGAATGTACTTAAACACCTTATATCTTATATTTGTCACATTATGTTATAATGGATTTTCCTTTCTCTTGAGTACAACATGGCAGCATGCTACTGGACTCTCATAAAGTCATATGCCATAAACATTATGGCTGGCCCCATGAAATGGTTTCTATGACTTGCTGGCATAATGTAAGAAAACATATTATGCGTCAAATTGCAAACAAGTAGGTTAGCTTTTTTGCATTATCTGTGCAGGAAAGTGTTAATCAGTGGGAAAATTGGAATATTTTCAGTTAACCAAACATCGATTCTAAAGAACGTGACATCAAGAACCATCAGATATGAAAAAAAGATGTTTCAGCATAGAGTTTTTTCTTTTGATGGATACGAATTAAGAGATATAGTTGTATCCATACTTTTAATCCGAAGTTAATTTTTTACCTTTGTATTTCGCTGTGTTCTTATTGATTCAGAAGTTCTTTTAGGTACCTCAATTTTTTTCTCGTTATTGCTTTTCATTTTTGGTTAATAGTCTGGGTCCAAACCTACTATGTCAAGTCAATGTCTTCCAGTTGACTTGTTGGCAGCAACCAGAAGTTATCTTAGAATAATCAAAACGTGTAATGATTGCTACAGTAAAAATTCAGGTAACGAGTATAAAGCAGGATTAAACTTTAACTTCAATGGCAGCTTCACTGCAGTTTCTTTCATTTCTCAAAGGTCAAGTGTTCCGAGATCATTAAAGCACCCCAGTTGCAAGTCAAGTGAAAACTACTGCAACAAGCTTTGAATATAATAAAACCATTTGAGTGGCTTCAACCAGTTACTACTTAATTCCCAACTGTACAGAATCTTCTATATTGCCATTACTTTAGCCATCGCGGCTACATTAGCACCATGATGATTCCCATAGCTTAATTAGAACTGTGGCGGTTCCCCAGAAGTTAAACGGCTATCACGGTTCTATTAGAACCGCAATGGTTAATAGGTTAAAAGGCCATCACGGTTCAATTAGAACTATGATGATTGATATGTTAAAAGCCCAACACGGTTCTAGTAGAACTGTGATGCTTTAAAGCTTCCTAATACACCGTGATGCTTTAGTGGCTTGAAAGGGTGTTTTATAAGCACCGTGATGACCTTCACGAAAGGTATTTTTGGTACAGAAACATGAATAGTAAAAATTTGATTATGAATGAGGTTTTCAAAGAAATTGGGGTTTTTTTTAATTTCTTGAGAAAAAAGGGATATATCTGATATTTTCCCATAAAAATACACATACCTTAAATTACAGCAATGAATTTATAATTTCGTTTTACTAGATCAGTATCAATGCTGACAGACTTGATCAACTGTTGAAAAGCTCGATTGAGTCAACTCAACTTGAATGAAAATCAGATCAAGTTTCAATTGAGTCTCAACTCTCAACCCTTTTTACATACACTAAGAGGAAACTCAACAGATAAATATGTATCTACTACTCTTCACATGAGTCAATGGGCCAAGCGACTCAATCAAGCCCATAACGTTTTAACCAACATGAAGAATCAAACTCAACCCATCCCACAACTAAAAAATGGGAAAAAAAAAATTGATTTTATCGAAACCCTTTCTTTTTTTCTTTTTCTTGTTTTTTAATGTGTGAAACCCGATCTTTTTGCAGTTAGAAGTCCAAAAGCCAAACTTTTCTTTGGAAAAACGATTTTAAAAGAGCACCAAGAGGACTCCAGACCACAATCTTGCAAAGGTAAGTCCCCATTTTCTATTTTCTCTGTTCATTCTTTTCTTTCTTTAGGTTTT